TCAGGGTATATTTGCTTGGATTGTAATGTTCCTTACATCAAATGTGGATGTAGGAAATGACTAGGAAGTGCGAGCACAAACACAAAATCAACCTTGGAACTCAGCCAGTGGGAATCAGGGTCTACATTTAGTCCCAATTCTACCTATCTTCCCATAATTAATCCCCAGAATGTCCAGAATTACTTTGTGGAACAATAAACCTCTCAACACCCTCTTGTTTGATAAGTATTAAATATTCCTGAGTTCAGAATGGTTAATAGGACCTTGAGAATGTTGTGAGGTCTTCCCAGATTTTCATTCACCAATCTTCCTATATGCTCTGATAACAGTCCTTAATAATTTTTTTTCTCAGACACACTGTGATTTTTCTGTTAAAAACAGAATGTTAGTGTCCTCTTCAAATTCTGTGCTAAAATCTTAACCCTCAATGTCATGGTGGTAGAAACTAGGGAGATGATCAGGTCATGAGGGTAGAGCCCTCATGAATTATATTAGTGCCCTTAACAGGGGATTTCAGAGAGCTCTCTCACCTTCTCTTCCTTTGAGGACTCAGTGAGAAGATAGCTGTCAGTTAAAAAGGAAAAGGGGCCTCACCAGACACTAAATTTAACTGTTCCTTGATCTCAGACTTCCCAACCTCCCAAAGTGTGAGAAATAAATTTCTATTGTTGATAAGCTACTCAGTCCATGGTATTGTGTTATAGCATCCAAAACAGACTAAGGCATATGTCTCCTTACACATGGCTTTGTTTCTTTCTCTGGGAGAACGACTGACCTCTAAGAGAAAGATCATCATTCCCTAATTGTTGCTATCATAACCCTTCAACATATCATGCATATAATATTTTCATACTATATTATAATTAAATGATTATATGTTAAATACTCCAACTATACCTATTTTGAAGACCAAACTTTTTCTTTCTCATCTTTGCAGGCTTACTGAAGAACATGGCATAAGTAGTTGCTTAATGAACATTTATTGAATAAATAAATGAATTAAGAGATTTTTAAAGATTATTATGTTGATTGAGTAAATTCTGCTATTAGATATGACTATTCTATTGAAATTAGAGAATTAACAAAGTTTTATTAGAAAAATTAAATAGAGCCTCAAAGCACAAATAAAATCAAATACTGAAAACACAATATAGTCCCTTATACTAAAACTTGAATAACACAAGGAAATGATGTCTTTAGTGACTGGTAAAATGGTAACTGGCTCAAAATAATTTTATAATTCTTTTCAAACTTAATCAGGAGAAAAATAGCAATTATATTTTCTGTCAAAAATTCAGATATGTGGACTAAAAAATTAGAATAGATCATTTGAAAATGTAACTGACTAGCCATCCTGCATCTTAAACCAACCAGACAAACCAACATCCTAACAGTCAACTCAATGAATAACTCTGCTCCTTTAAGCATTCCCATGGGAGATATTTATGGCTGGCCAATACAGCTGGATAACATTAACCTATCAAGTATTACAGAATATTTTCAACCAACTTTCTGTACACTGAGAATGCAGTCAGATTTGGTTTTCTCTGGAGACCACAATAAACATCCAACTTGTTTTCAATTATGTTTGGAGGCAAGAATATTGTTTCTTGAAATACTGGCTCACACTGAGGCAGGAAGAGGAAGTAACTGAGTAAGTTCTGTGATCTGAGAAATCTCCAGGTTTGGTTGCTGTGAAACCCCCAGGGTCCTGATCACCCCCAGGGGGAAAGGACTGAACTCCCATGGAACTGACAGCTTGTGTGGACCCGCCAAATTATGACAGCAGATGGGATTATTTTACTGCTTCGTTTTCTATATTCTTTAAAAACATATTTGTCTACTTATGCTCCTATTTCTTTCATATTATCAGTGTATTTAGAGAAAATTGTTTTTCTCTGGGTATCAAGTTTCTTATTGGCAATAGGTAACAGTGGGACACTACATAATGTTTAAAGGATTTCTTCTAAAACAGCAACAAGAGTTGCCATAAAGTTAAAGAAAAACAATAAAAACACTGTCTTCTAGGAAGATGGTATTGAATTTCCTGAAATTCTCCCATTAAAACGAGCCACCCAAAAGTAAGACCCAAAACTCATGGGCAACATTTACAGTAGAACTAGATGATAAAGAATCCCCCAAACACCTAATGCACACTGGTGAAGATGGGGCCCCACTGCCTCCATGGAGTCAGTATATGTGTAGAGGAAGGAGAAGGAAGCAAAGGAGATGCTGATGGACCCAAAAGCAGAAAACCCCCAAGTGCCCCAGGACATTTCCTGGACAATGCAGAGGGCTGATTCAAGATGGATCTTACCTCAGAAGTGGCTAATCCTTAGAAACCTGTTAAGCTTAAGGTGTTAGTCAAAAGTTTTTATGAGAAAGGTCAATGACAAAATTCTGCCAGTTGTAATTCTGTGAGAGCTTAACTTAAGTCCTTTGTGAAAACATGTCTGCAAAATGCTCAAGTCTGAATAACCATAATGTGTTTCTCGGTTTTTCAAGTCAAACCAGAGTTTTCTGAAAAAGCAACTAGAAAGGCTTGCAACTCTGATAATCAGACAAACACTGTCCTTGAGCCAATCACTGTATGACTTTAAAGATGGTATGCACAAATATTTTATACACAGAGCTTGGTACTTTACCCTATTATTAACAACATGTGTTCTCAGGCGCAAAATGGAATGCAATTAATTATTTTTGCTGTTCAACAAAAGTAAAACCGGCATTTTCTTCTCTCTGAAGTGCTTGGTGGTGAAGAATATGATGCTAGTGAAGCCTGGCAGCACTGCCTTGATTCATAGTAAGGTGCTAGATTTTTTACCCATCATTACTTTGATACCATCAGTGTAAATGTCAACACAGTGAGAGGGAAACACCATCTTAGTATTATTATAAAAATATGCTTGAATCTATGGACCTTCTGAATGCATCCTAGAAGCCCCCAGGGTTCTGTGGACCATACTGTGAGAACTGCTAGGTAGAAAAACATCATTATGAGGGCTGCTGGTGAGCATTTAAAATACACACAATATATATGACTAAATTATAATGTATACATATACATAAATGTATGTATATGTATGCATGTATGTATATAAACATTATATAGTTTATATATAAAACTAATTGAAGACTAGAGGGAGAGAATATAGTGTACAAGGGGTATACACTCTGACAATGAAGATACGATACACATATTAAAAGAATAAAAAGAGGATCAGAAAAACATATGCAAAAAAGGTTTTGAATGTTTATAGTTAATCATATTGATGTTGATAACATTGCTATTATTATTATTATTTTAAAACTATTGTGTGTGTGATGAGGCTCAGAGAAAATGATTAACTACTACAAATTCTAATTCTCTCATCTTCAATATCTTTGAGAACCAGGAATCTTTGGAAGAAAGGTGATAAAACTAACAGAGAAGAGAATGAACAAAAATTCATGATTTTGAATTGGAAGCATAATGTGAATTTTTGATACAAATTTCTTTTATTGGTAAGTGTATATGCCTGTGTGTGTGTGAGTGTGTGTATGTGTGTGTGTGTATATATATATATATATATATATATTTTTTTTTTTTTAAGACAGGATCTCCTTAAGTTGCTGGTGCCAGCCTTCAAATTGCAATCCTCTTGCCTGAACCTCCCAATTCACAGTGCCAGGTGACAAATTCACATATTTAAAACCCAAAGATTCTTAAGTGTATTAAGTAAGGGTGGTATCTAGTAAGGGAAGAAGAAACATTACTATAATGTATGGGGAAGTCTCTATGGGTAGTGAAACTGCAAAAATAGGGGGAATAATTTGTGTAAATACTTTCATGTTTAGATAGTAGAAATTATGATTGGTCAGGGCACACGGAGGGCTTTTGGGGATGCCTGGAAGCATTCTTCTTGACTTATGTGGTAATTTCTGAAGTGATTGTCTTATATAACTCATTGTGGGGTGTGTGTGTGTGTGTGTGTGTGTGTTGGTTTTCTCTATAGTCTATATTTTAATTTATAATAAGGTTTTTTAAAAACTACAAACTAAAGTAATTTTATGTTTCCTGTACTTGCAAATCTAACATTTTATAATATCTGCCCAACTTTTTAGATGCAAATTAAATTTTCTGGACAATCTATTGCCAAATATCTGATGTTCAACTCATATTGCCCTTGGTATTACACAAAGGGGATTAAGCTGTGGAAATATAGGCAGATACTCAAAAGCTTTCTTTCTCAAATACAAGATATAAAGGAATGAAACTTAGAATTTTCAAGAAAGGAGAAATATCAGAGAATAGAATTCACACCACCAAGGGCAATATTTTTTTTTCTAGTCTAAATAAACTCAGAATAAAATTAAAAACAATTTTTCTGTATCCTTCCATCTTCCCTATTGAATTCTTAAATGCTCAATTACTCCAATTTGCAGGAAACAATGATGTTAGTAATGGCCACAAATCAAAAATGAACCAAAGAAGTGAGGACTAATGAAAAGAAACAGAAATAACAGTTCATTGTGGGAGATAATTTGAGGCATTTTGGAATTTGGATAACAGATTTTCCTTCAAGTTTCAACTCACAATTAAATAAATGGCATTGTCTTATAAAAGATCAAGTTTCTTTACTTCTTGAAATCTGTCCCCCAAAAGCCCAAACTAATGAATACATATCAACTAAAAATAACCTTTTGAATTTTCTGTAAATTTCCCTGGACTTACAAAGTGATCTAAAGGTTATCAGTTCTTTCATTTAATACTTTTCAAAGGATTTATTGTTTCATGGAAGTTCTACTTGTTCTTATAAGAATACTGGGGAATCATTTTATAATTTTTCTTCTTGGTAACTTGAAAAAAAATGTCAATTCCCAAAGAAGATTTTTATATTTAAGTAATGAATAGAGTCAATAAATGGAGTTGTCATGGATTCATATATATCCTTAGTTTGCTCAGATAAGAATAGACTCTAGCCAACCACCAAAAGGCTGTAAGATAATCATTTGCTTACCCTCCATGATGGTCAAAGGATCTTCCACCTTGGGGCGCAGGATATTAGGACCAAAGACAGTTGCCAAGTTCTGCACACTCATTTTGTTAACTCCTGAATAGGACTGCACTTCGTCCAAGAACCTAGCAGTTGTAAGAATATGATTGAAACATAACAGGAATATATTTTTCAGTGAAATAAATTGGATCATTGGGAAACATGAATTGAACTGTACTCAAAGATGATTACTGAAACAAAACCATTTAGAAATTCAAACATCTTTCACTTCAATGTAGAAAAATTATACTGCAAATTATGAAGGCTCAAACTATAAGGATCATATCCTGGATTGATTTGCTCTGTCAGTTAAAGGAGCAAGTGTGTTTGGACAATGTTAGTATGAACTTGAGAGTCATGGACATGCATTCCTTTTTGTTATAGTTTGGATAATTGTCCCCAAAAGGCTTATGTGTTAAAGGTTTGAGGCACTCTTGGGATGTGGTGGAAACTTTAGAAGCCTAGTGGGAGGATTTTCCATAATTGAGATATCGATTACCTTGTCTCTTCCTGTCTCTTTCTTTCACACCTCTGTCCTGAAGTGAATGGTGTTGTCCTGTACTTCCTTGATATATATATATATATATATATATATATATATATATATATATATATATATATAATACCTTGCCTCAAATCAACAGGGTCAATTAATTATAGACTAAAACCTCTGAAACCATGAGCCAAAATAAACCTTTCTTCTTTTCAAGTTCATTATCTCAGGGATTTTGTTGCGATAATGGAAAACTGACTAACATCCCTTCTAATTTCTTAATGAAGTATTAAGTATACATACATATTCAGTAAGATAATTGTATATAGGATCATCCTAACTTTTAAACAGGAGGAATCTGCCTTCTTTGTGGAGGAATTTGTGATGTTCAAATTTGTAGTCTGCTAAAATAATAAGATCAAATATTGTGGAAAATAAAACATCAGTTCGACTGATATGAAAAACTGCAAGAACAAATTGCTTCAATTTATTAGGTTCTCAAGAATAAAAGGCATGAAATAGCCCTTTTCCCAGAAGGTTTTAGTAGAAGAGATTGCTTTTGTGATCTTTAAACCCTTTTTCATTCCTTACCTCCTCTTCATTTCTACCAGTGATTTTATTTCATGGCTTGCTAATTGTCTTAATGTGATAAAAAGGAAATGATGAAAAATAAAAACAGCATATTTATCTAGCACAATTATATGTCAGTCACGGCGTTAACTTATCTAATTCTTAAAGTGTCCCCATTAGGTGGGTACTATTATTATCTCCATTTTACATATGAGAGACTTCAGGTAGCAAAGAGGTTGAAAATCTTCTTTAAGGACAGAGTTAGATAGTGACAGAGCTGAGGCACAGGAATCCGTGCTCTTAACTATTATACCATGACTTTTTAAAGGTACCTATTTCTAAATGTTCCTGATACACAGCCTAAATCACAGTAAAGCCAAGGCAAAAAGTCAAACCATTGTTTCTTATTTGAGATGAAATCTTAAAAGTCTGTTTAAATGCTTCAAAAAAAGTCAAGTGCTTCTATTGTGGAGATAAAAAAGACTTGCCTTTTCATCCCCTCTTACTTAAAGAGAACGTGACCTCTTTCTCATCTACTCTAATAACCTGAATTAGTTCAAAATCTTAGGAGGGAAGTCTCATATGTTAATAAGCATACAATGCCACTGAAATTGCATCTTGCTTTTTCATATTCTGAAACCTAAGGTCCTACTTTCTTCTAAACATAAAAATCACTAGAAAAAGTTATGGTGGGAGGTTTTAGAAATCCTACTCAGTTACATTGACAATGAACTGCACAGTTTCTGGCATGGATCTTAAACTACACTGCTCCTAGTCAGCTGTGTGGGCTGTGTTCTTCACCACCATCTCTATTAAGACCTTGAAACTCAGAAAGGATAAGAACACTGCATAAAGACATAGGGGTAGTCACTGATGGGACCTGCATTCCCACACAGATCCACCTCAGGCCAAGGTCCCTGCTCCTTTTCCTACAATGCCATTCCCTACACAGTACAAACAACTTGGATGGAAGTTCAAAGCAACGTTTATCTTTAATATGTGGAGGCAAGAGAGATTTCTAAAGCATCAAATTACAAAAGTAAGCAACTGCAGTTCTCAGAGAAACTTTAGAGGTAGCCTTATCAAACTTTCTAATTTTTCAGAGATTAACATAGGAGCTTAGAGCAGTTAAGGGGCTTTATTCATTGTCGAGTATAGTTATGAACAGGCTAAATATAGTCTTATTTTGTTTAGTTTTGTCTTTATGAGGGTTCTTACCTGCAAATATACTTGAGAAGGTTGTAATTCACCACTGGCAAACTCTTCACCTGCTTTGCTAATTCCTTAACACCCTGAGTACAAAGAAGAAGAGAATTAATGTCATCTATGTATTGGTCTTGTTATTAAAGTAAGTAGAAAATAGCAATATTGTTCTTTATTTCAGCACATATTATCAGTGAAAGAGTCTTTCCTGAAGATGTTCCACTGTCATGGGGGAATATTTTAGAAATATTTTCAGAAATGTATAAGTATTTAAAATATTTCCCATAACTGCAGTCAACATAGTACAATAATGTGCCAATCAATCATGACTACATATAGGAAGGTGGTCCAAAAGATTATACCATTCATCTAATGATGGTATGGACATCTTAGTTTGTATATGTACATGTTAAGATATTTGCACAATGATGAAACATATTAAAGATGTTTCTCAGAACATATCCCCACTGTTATGTATTATTTGTAGAGAAACAGACTTAAGTGAAGCTCTTTTAACATTTTTAACAGTTGTTCACAATGACTGAAAAGGGATGACAGACTCATTAGTTGAAAACAAAAATAGCTTTGATGTAGTGAAGGTCCTTCCCATTTTCACCATGCCTAGAAGTTAGATAAACACATGCCTACTGACTATTCAATCTCTCTGGATTGGTCATGCCAACAGTATATCATCAGTTGTGACACAAAGAGGGTTGGAACGCCTAATCTTCCTGGAAAGTTCACAAGGGATTAATTTCTTCTGTTCTTCTCATGTAGAACTTCCTCTAAAATGTAAATGGCCCTAGAAAAGCCAATTGATAATTCGGTCTGATTTCTTCTACCTGTAAAGGGTCAGTTAGTAAGTATTTTAGGCTTTACAGGACACATGGTCTCTTTTATAACTACCTGACTGTTGTTATACAAAAACAGCCACAGTTGATATTATGAAACAACAACAACAAAAATAAAATTGCATTTGTAAAAATAGGCAGCAGTTTTGACAATTATGGCAAGAGAGTTCAATGGAAGAAAGAAGAGTCTTCAAAAAAAAAATGGTGCTGAAACTACTGGATATCCACATGCAGAAGAATAAAGTTGGCTCCTTTCCCTGCATTATATCATGAGCTTAAAATGGAACAAAGATCTCAGTGTAAGAGTTGAAGTTACAAGATTCTTAGAAGACCATAGAGGAGTAAATATGACTTTTTCTTAAACACAGGCTTCTTAGACATGACACAAAAAGCACAAATGACCAAATAAAAATAAATAAAATACATGAAATACTTCATCAAGATGAAAAAGGTTTTATACTTTAAAGGACATCATCAGGAAAATGAAGAAATAATAATTTAAATGGGAGAAATATTAGTAAATCATATATCTGATAAGGAACATGATTTAACTATATAAATTCTTACAACTCAATAATAAGACAAATACAGTTGGTCCTCCATATTCATGGACTCAACCAACTGCAGATTAAAAATGTTAGGAAAAAAACTGTATCTGTACTGAACAGTACTGACATTTTTCTTGTCACTGTTCCCTAAACAACATAGAATAACAACTATTAACACAGCATTTACTTTGTACTATGTACTACAAATAATTTAGAGATGATTTAAAGTATCCAGGAAGCTATGCCTAGGTTATATGCAAACGCTACACCATTTTATGTAAAGGACTTGAACATTCATGGATTTAGGTATCTGCAAGGAGGCCTGGAATCAATCACCTGAGAGACTGGGATGGTTGTAATGCAATTAAAAATAGGAAACTAATCTGAATAGATATTTTTCCAAAGAAAGTATATAAATAGCCAATAAACACCATGAAAAAATATTTAACATCATTAGCCATCAGGAAAATGCCATTCAAACCTCAATGATACACTCCTGACACGTATTAGAATGTCTGTGGTCAAAAAGGCAGATAACAGTAAGTGATGGCAGAGATGTAAAGAGATTGGAATCTGCACACATGCCTGATGGGAATTAAAAATGGCACAATCTTTTTGGAAAAAAAAATAGAGCTACATATGGACCAGCAATTCTATCTTTGAGTGAAATTAAAACATATTTCCATGCAAACCTTGGCACATAAATGTTCATAGCAGCATTATTGTTAATAGTCAAATAATGGAAATTTAAAAACTGATGAATGAATAAAAAATGGAATACTGTTTGGAAATTTAAAAACATGAAATACTGATAGATGGTACAATGTGAATGAACTTTGAAAAAGATGAAAAAGCCTAGTCACAGAAAACAACATATTGAATGATCCTGTTTATATAAAATGTCCAGCAGAAGCATACCCATAGGGGAAGAAATTAGATTAGTATTTGCCAAGAGCGAGGGAAAGGGGAATTCACAGAGGCTATGAGATTTGTTTTAGGGAAATAGAAATTTTGTAAATATTCTAAAATTGAATTTTGGTGCTGGTTGCACAACTCTGAGAATATATAAGTACTGAATTATAAAGTTTAAACCCTTGATTGTACAGTACGGTAATTACATCTCAATTAAGCTGTTTTTAACAAAAATAGGCAGGCAGTAGGATTTGGTTTATAGGCCATTATTTGAGATACTTTGGAGGTACTCAAAAAAGGAGATTATAAAACAAGGTGCCCATGTTCTTCTTGGAAGATGTGACCTAATGTAGCACCACAAATCAACCCTTTAGGGGAGCAAGTGCCATAAAGCACTGATTTCATTCATTCAGCCACATTCTTCTTTCTGATCAGACAGGGAACAGAAATGGGACTTGAGTTGTGCATAGAAGGTCTAAATGTGTGTGATGTAGAGAATAGGGGGAAATGTCCAAGAATAGGACAAGAGGAAAATTGCAAATTAAATAGTAAAAACACAGACAAAACCTGCAAACCAAAGCTTATGTAGAAACAAATGCATCAACTTACTGCTTCCTCTTCCTTGCTGAGCAGCTTGGCACATGACAAGAAATCTTCATACTTAGCGTATGGAATAACTGGTTCTGGAAGTTCTCGAAGATACAGTTTAAGGAGTGAGGCCACTGTATGCACATCCGTGTTGCTATGGAGACAGAAGTTGAAAGGTATTTTAGGGGGTAACTTTATATCATTTAGTTTATTATTATTATTATTATTATTATTATTATGAGTGTGAAATATATGCCAAGGAGTCCCAATTCTATCTAAGTTTGCAACTGAATCAGTCAATCCATTTTCCAGGGAGCACACACTTTTGTAATGTCTGTTAGACGCCACCACGGGTGGGAAAGAGAGAGTGACAAGACATTTTCAAACTCCTTCATGTGGTGTGAAAATAGTTGAAAGTTCAAGCATTTTCCCTAGGTGTGTATTTTTTTATTTGTTCTTTTTAGATACACATATCAGTAGAGTGAATTTCAGCATATTATACCAATATGGAGAATAACTTATTCTAATTAGGACCCCATTCTTGCAGTTGTACATGATGTGGTGTTTCACTCATTGTGTATTCATATATGAATGTGGGAAAGTTATATCTGATTCATATGTGTATATTGGATGGCAAGCAAAAGTGTTAGCTTTGGAAAACTATGAGAATATATCAGGCCACAAAATATAATACACTTTACAACAAATACCAAATTTATGTTTGTGTATATTTGTATTCTCTGTCAGAATTCATTACTTCTGAATCCTGACTTCATCTCTCAAAATGTTGAACTCATTTTGGGGAGACATTGGTGATTGGTTCCAGATACTTGAAGCTTAGTATGACACACTTTTTAAGCACAACTCATTATGAAGATGATTGGCTCTCAGCATAATTGCTTGTCTACTATTCTAAAAGAGTTGGGAATTCTTAGATCCCTCTAGAAAGAAAAAGGAAATCCTCTGAAAATAAACAATTACAATTTTAACATATTCTTTACATAACTCGTATAATTTATACTTATCCCCTGCAGAACACCAGAGTGGCAGAATGATTTACTGAATGTGAATGTATATTTTCTTCTCTTTATTCCCGTTCCATGTTAATCCATGAAGATGGATAACAGGAAAGAGGGGAACCAAACTTTTTTTGAGTGAGAGTTATTTATTTGGGGGGACAAAAAGCAGGTTGAATACTTAAGTGAGGCAGGAAATGTGGTAGTAAGTAAATCAGGGGATTCTGTAAGAAGTAAAAGATTATACCATACTCCCAGCTTCAGGAGTGGGTAAGACCCTGGAAGGCTCTGCCTTTAGAATAGAAGCTGGGATGCAGGCACTAGGGAGTACTCTCTTTTCCCAATGGTGATGCCATATGTATGTGAGCTAGGACAATGTGCCTCTCAGTTCTCAATTTTGAACTCATGGATTGATTTCATCAAGTATTTACTGCGTATCTATTCTGTGTTGGACACTATAGAAAACACAGTGGCTAGGGTCTCAGGAATTAACAAATAAAGTATTTTTCAAGCCTGCTTATAATTTATAATTTAGTGGGGTCAGCAAATATTAAGCCAATGATAATATACTATGTAATTATAGAGTTGTAGTGGGTGGTAAGAAGGAAAACTATAGGATGTTGTTTAATAACAAGAGAGGACTAACCAGGCAGAGGGTGGGCTTCTCTGAGGAAATGAGGATTGGACTAAGATTGGAAGGGTGTAGTAGAGTGAACTGAGAGCAGAAGGACAGAGAAGTGCATTACTGATTAAAGCAAGGAAGGGAAACAGTTTGAAGAGGGAGGCTGCCTTGTGCCCTTAAAGACCTGGTAAAAGACTGGGAAATTCAGAGCCTCTGATGGGGGTGGATATGGTTAGAGTGGCAGGGAGCAGCTTCATGAGCCACAGAGCTTTACCTACCTGGGGACAAGCACTGAGGTTTCTTGTGTGGATGTTAGAGTCTGTCAGAATAAGCATATCATGAGTGATTTTAAGATATTAAAATGATGATTTGATATAATGGGGCATGTTACATTAACTTTATTTTTCTAACAAAGAAGTATATTTTAAAAAATTGTCAATGGTAAGGCAATATCAATAAAGAGGTCCTCTTAAAGATTTGTGAATAAAAATCACACCTCAAAGACCTCTTGAAATCTAGGTTCAGGCTTATTAATTTCCAAAAATAATTTCTAATTTTTTTAAAAAGATGGACCAAAATAGTTCCAGTAGTAAGACAAAAAAAATTCATATGTGTTGTTGTTTACTGGTAAAGCTGTCCATTTCACAAGTATCCAAACCCTCTATGTCTCTGTTCCTATATAGTAAAGTGCCTGGCTTGAAAGAGCAGTCACCAGGAGTAACAAAATCGCAGCCTGAGGCAGGAGAGGCAGTGCAATCAAATGTTCCAATAAACTACTTCCACTTTTTGACTTCACTCTAATTCAACCTACTGTCATGACTGGATGGGGTCTGTTTTGCCTCTAGAGTCAATGACAAAATGTTGCTAAAGTTATAAGTAGGGAGAGAGAAAAATATAAAATCAAAGTACAAAATATAAATACATATATATTTCAATGTGTAGAGTGTGTTATATATAATATATATTTCTATATAAACACTATGTTAAATATTTATGAGTAAATGCAATAAAGAAAGGAGATAATAAAGGAAAAAGGAATATATTTAAAAATAAATCTGTTTTAGAATTTCTTTGACGATTTATTCATTCCATTCACTTTCCTTAAACACACTGTTTTTATGTTAACGTCCTGAATTCCTTCCTCTATTATTTTGCTTCTGAAGAAGGGAAACATTTTGGTGTTGAGAACATTCGAACACTAGGTGGCAAGCTTGCAAAGTTAGACTGTGAGGCCGGGGAGAAAATTGTGAAGGATGGAAGGCTGCAGAATCATTCTTCCTCTACCAGCAACGTTCTTAACACCAAAGCTGCAGTGATGTTCCAAGAATTAAAACATTGGAGCTATGAATCAAAGTAAGAGAGATGGAGTGGGATGATTATTTTATTCCTTGCCTGAAATAATCCTTTGCCTTAGCTTTTTAGTATTATAGTACATATGGCCACAGGTAATTACACGGACATGAAAATGACATAGAAATAATAAAGAATGATCGTATGTATTTTCTGTCTTCTTTTTTTTTCCCAATTAATGAAGGCTATTCAAGTTTTGTTTAAAGACTTAAAATTTTATGACTCTTTTGGGGGACTTCATTAAACCTCGTTCTTTGTAGAAATAAAGACTTCTGCATTTTTTTCAGCTTTCTCATTTTGGCTTTGTACTTTCCTACTGAATGGAAGGAAACAATTACTTTTGGATGGACTCCAACATGCTTTGCCTCTTCTGATTCATGTCCTCTGGCTCACGTTGGGTCACTCTGCCCTGGCTGCTAATAGGCTACCTAGAGCAATGGGAGACTGGGGTTTCTCTGAAAAAATCTCTTTGTAGGTTTACTCTATGAGATGACAATCTTCCACATCTAACTCTCCAGCCTGATATCTCTGACTAAAAATCCACTACTTTGATTCATTGATATTTACTTTACTACATACAACTAATTAACTAGATACCAATGTTTTGTGTTAATAGCCTAATGCACCTTCAATGACATGTTATTTTGCCTCAGAGATATTTATCTCAGTCTTTGCCAAAGTGAAGTGAAGTGACTAACTGTGACAAAAGTCTATGTACAATGGAGAATAAAAATTGTCACCTGGCTAACAACAACAACACCTCTCCACACTCTAGGCCCTCTCTGTGATCCAACCAGTAGATTGTGTAATTAATCCCATTTGAGGCACTTGAACAGGACATCACACAGATAGGTGGTACATTAACCTCAGGTTCCTTTGGTAGGACTTCAAAACTACTTGGTAATGTAGAATCACTATATAGACTCAGGATTCTTTCACTCACCAGGTAACAGAATTTGCTCAGAAGCTAGGAAAAATAATCATACACTTCATATCCAGTGATAGAAAAGAGAAAGAGAGAGAAGAGAGAGGACCTCTAAAATGCTCGTTAAAGAAGCTACCAGACCAGGAGGAGCTCTGAAACATATGATTACTTGATCAACACATGGGAATTGTTTACCCCTCATACTGCAGTTGGACTTCACTTTTGAAACCTGTTTCCTTGTGTTCACTACTGTTTTCAACCTTGAAGACCTCCGTGAAGCTTCCTATGATTGATCTAATTTTGTTTTCTCATGGGTCATCTTTTGATCCTTTTGGAATCTGTCATTCATTCACTACATAGTTCCTGAACACCTATGGTGAGCACTGCCTCAGGATACCTGGAGGTGAAATAGATGAACAACAGAGACCTTTTTTTCCCTCCCTTGAGCTTAGCTTATATCTTTACCTGGTCCCTGTCAACACATTTCCTTACCAAGCTCAGTTTTTCAACTTTATAACACTCTCTGTGTAGTCTAACTTTTAATGCCCTGCCAGGTATGTGATCTTAAGAATATTCTCTGCACTTCCTGGAAACTCATTGCACTGTTTATAAATCTATGCACAATAGGCTTTTACTAATCTGAATGGGAATAAAAGATCTGAAAACAATCCCTCCTTGCTCATCCTGTAACCCAACTCTTCCTTCCCTAATAAATATACTAATACACACTGATAAATCCAAATGCCACCATAATTACAAATATAAAACCACATAGACAAAACCTTGTAACACTTAAGCTTCATAATTATAAAAGGGAATTTTTCATTCTGGTTACCATGCACAGAACACAGTATAATCAATCCCTTGATTTAACTGAATAGAATGAATTTCCAATGCATTCACACAGGAAGTTATTAAAGATATTGTGGACTTATCGGCAATGAGCACAATAAGAGAACCTAAGAATTACCTTCAAATTAAGAAAATAATAATGTCATCTCTACCAGGCTCCAGGGAGAACATAAATTAAAATGAAGGCATGCAACAGCACTGCCCGGATGAACTCTGCCCCAAAATGTCTTACTTAAGCAACCTGCTCCACCACTGAGTTCACCAAAACGCAGAAAAGCTAACCCAAAAGTTTAAGCAGCTCTAAACTAAACTAAACTAAATGCCATTTGGAAGAGTCTGCTTCTGTTCAAATTTATTTATTACTTATCTGTCAAAACTGGTACATTTTT